ATCTGGAGTATGAAAGGACTGCAGTGATTCTTCGGCGTCGCACGGCGGTAGCGGGCCCTCGGCACCTGGCGGAGGAGACGGATAAGGGGGTTGGGGGGAGCAGCATGCACACCTAGGAAAGCCGGAAGGCGGAAAGTCCAGCGCGGGGTCACGGGCTAAGGAGGCGAAACGACCGGACGAGAGCTAAGCAAACAAACAGGTGGTGGCCCCCAAATGAGTTGAGCTGAGCGAAGGAAATCGTGGCAAACTTGGCAAGGCACCTTTAAAGGAGTCTTATGAAAATGCTTCAAATGCAAAAGGTACACAGGTGATGAAACGGCTAGAAAACGCGGACGAAACGAGTTGCATATGCACGTCTTATCATGCTCGCCGATACGTGTGCGCGCAGCGCGTTCGATGACATGTACAGGCGCTGCTTTCAAGTCAATGTAAAAACATATTTTTGTCGGAAATTGAGAAGGATTCTCGGGAAAGAATTTTAAAACATTAACAATAGCCCATTCTTCCTACCTGTTGCTGTTCCCCAGACCAACAGCAAAAGCACCAGCTGCTGGATCATTGCACGAAGGCTCTCGGTATGTTATGGAATTCGATGTTTCAGATGCATCAACTTAAGTGCCCCTCTTATTGGCCGCGCTTGGCGGTTGGCCGGTCCGATTTGCTGAGGCCCAAGGCAACAGCCCTACCTTTCACCAAAAACAAGCACACACGTATTGTAAAAGCCTTAAAGATATTTTATGTATGTATCAGGGCTATATTACTTACTAATTGTTGATGAGAGTTTGCTGAGGAAGGTAGCTCCCAGGACTTGCAATGGTTCAGCAAACAAATCGATCCTGGAGCACCCAACCTAATATAATTAATTACATGAAGTCTTATACAATTTACTGCTTCTTGTGAGCGCCTTTACTTGCATACGGCACTGCGTAGCTTCTCAGCAGAATCAGACGACTGTGACAGGGATAAGTGCGGGATTGGACGCCAAGAAGGAATGTTTTAATTTTCAACTTGTTTCTGAATGATAAGGTCAACAATGCTGGCAAACGAGCCGCGATCGCCCACCGATTTCATCCCCAAACTAGTCGGTGTGCGGAGGAAGTAGTCGGTTAAAACCGGACCACACGCGCCACTACCACAATATTTGCCACGAATGTTGAAAGATATGCATACCTATGCACGATTGGTATGCGTATTTAATTTTTACCTGTAGGCACAAGGAAGAATGCTAAGCGGATTTTCTGTTCAGAACCACGTCAGACCAATGGCTGTAGCTAAGCACTGAAAAGGCCAGCACCGATTCGCATTATAACCTGCTGTGATATAGCCATGTTTTTGTCGTGTGTTTGCGCAAACACATTGGCTTCGCAGCACCTATGCGGCTCAGCGTCAACAACATCACAAAGGAGCACAAACGGTCTTACATCCTCGGCAGGTCAATGCCCTTTCACAAATTGATATCACTTTACGGAACGAAGATTTTAACTTTGAAGAAAAAAGGTTTCACCCACGCGGGTGCGGTACAGTGTACGGTATGCCAGGGTATTGTTGACGTTCAAGGCCTCTCCATAATTCTTACATAATAAGCATGTGCCTTTATAAGGCAACAAGGCACCCGGTAACCAGTTGGTGTCCAAGGATTGGATTAAGGGTTATGACTGCGTTACCCAGCAGCAGCAGCGAGCCAGTTACGGCGACAGCGAGAACGAAAGCGACAGCTGCTTTTGCAAAAGCATCCCTCCTTTCCCCACCCCCGTACCCCGGCCCCCTACCCCACCCACCCAGCCAGAAGGACCGCAGAGGGAAGGTCCTCAATAACGCCCTCACGAGCTAGCGGTCTGGTAGCCGAGCCGTTGATTGACTGATACGAGTAAATCCTTCAGTGACACGTCATAGATGACGTCGCGCCACGCCAATATATTTTTCATATTTTTGGAAATCCTCTTTAACTATATCTACATTATCAAAGGTGTCACAACTTGTGACTCACAAGCAACATCCCGAGCAAACTGCGTTGCGGCGCTGGCCTCCGCCTGCCCCCGTTTCCCGGCTTTTGCGGCATAGACCTACGCGGCCGAAGGTTTTCAGGTGATCCTGGCAGCCGGAACATAATCCATCAGAACTGCAAGCATTATATGATCACCGACAATCCTTTCGCCTCCCGTTGATATAAGGCCCAAATACATGTCAAATCTTCCTAGTATTATTGACAGCTATCGAACGAGGGCGGCGATGGCCGGGCGGAAGTGCTTCCAAAGCGAGTGCTTCCAGGTGCTAGTGTCCAAGGTTCAATTAAGGTTTTTTACTAATGGGGTTTCCTTGGGGGAACTGCGAGAGGGGAGAAGATCTGCCGGGAACGTGATTTGCGGAGCAGCCGCCGCGGCGGCGGATGCGGCGGCAACGGCCTCCGCTGCCCTCTTCTCTTTGGCGTGAACAGATGCGCTTGCACGTATGCGTGGTCGCCCTGCTTGTAAGTAAATTGCGATGCGTTTCTACGTTCTCAAATTCCCCCCTTTCCCAGCACGCCTGGATGGGAAACCGGAGGGGTTGCGAGAAATTATGTTTCCGAGTGTTTGAGCTTGCTGGCGTGTGCTGTCTCTGGGCTATGACTCCTGCGGCTGGTTGTTGACGGCGAGAGGGCCTTCTTTGTGATTGGTTGGAAAGCACGTAACAATCTCGGAGCTTTACAGTTTATAATGGAGGCGAACTCAACCTCACGCATCCTGTAAAGTCACGTTGGTACAATATTATTGACGCATGTACAACTGTGGGTCGAGCCCTGACTATATTGAGCGACCTACTCTCTTTTGAACAGACGCAGCGAGGTCAAAAAACCTTCACATACCACACGCGTGCACATCGATACCTGACACTTCTTTACAAAAATATTGGTATAGTAAATCGCAGTAGCACGTAGGTTGCGCTATACAAGCCGGATACAATTACAGATATGTCCAGGCGGGAAAGAAAGACCCAGAAGTCATCGGGTAACAGCCTTGTCCAAACCTAGTCACCACTTATAAATCAACTAACAAAATCATCAGCACCAGCACCGAGATCGCAAAAGGCAGTTCCAACCTAACAAAACCTCTGTAAAACCACCCGAAACCCCCCTCACAGCAGCACATCGTCCTCCTCCAGTCCCTGCAAAAACGGATGGCCCAAAGCCTGCTCCAGGGAAGGCCGTTGCCGGGGATCCTCCGCCATCACCTCCTCAATGAAGGCACGCAGATCCTCCGAAACCCACTCCGGTACGGCACCCCCAGCCACACCCACCTCACCCCACCTACTTTCCCCCGCTACGTTCCCCGCCTCCCACTGCTGCCCATACCCAAACGCACACATCCCCGCCAGCACGCCCACGCTATACACGTCCGACTCCGCCACAATGCGTGGCGCTTTACCCGAACGTGTACGGCGCATCAGCTCCGGTGCCGTACAGCAAGCGGCACCGAGCAGGCGACCAAAGTGGTTACGCGAGCCGAGCCGGGCGGCGCTGCTCATCCCGCCCAGCTGCACCCGACCGGAGCTGGTCACCAACACATGGCGAGGGGCCTCCAGAGCGAGATGCGCCAGGCCCTGAGCGTGCAGCTCACTCAGGGCAAGCAGCACGGAGGCGGTGATGACCCGAATACGTTCCAAGGGAAGTATCAGGTCGCGGCGACCGACTCGTGCGTCAGTGGGGTTGGCCCGGAGAGCAGCGTCCTGGCGCGTGGAGTGGGGAAGGGAGGGAAGGGGGGGAAGGGACGGAGGATCAGGGGTTTGAGGGGATGCGGGGAAGGTAACATCGGTTGTTCACAGCGATCACCCGTGTCCCCACCGCGTCCCCTAGGGCCCTAACTCAGATCCCTAGCTTGACCCGCCCCCCGCCTCCCGCACGCACCCACCCATCCAATCCATCGCGCACAGCTTCCTTCTTGCTGTTCATACGGTCATCTAGTAAACTAGCACAACCGCCCGAAACCCCGGGGTCCCCCCTCCACACCCACCAGCTCTTGCTCCAGGGAGCCCCCGTCCACGTAGTCCGTGAAGATCTCCAGCCGGTCAGCCAGGTACCCGCAGCTGCCCAGGTAGTGGACAGTGAAGGGGCTGCTCGCGACCGACTGGGAGGGAAAGGGAGGGGACCAAAGAGGGGGTTTTAGGGTACGAACAAAAAGTAGATAAAAATGGACGGAAGTAGATGAAAATGCTGCTGCCTAGACATAAATGGCTAGGGAATGGGAGATCGTGGTTAGATTGGGTGTTGTAACGGTGTCGATATAGCGGTGTCGCGGTACACGGTGGCGAAACACGGAGGTTGACCAAACAGCCATCCCCACTCCTCCCAACCCCTATCCTTCGGGAGCCCTCACCTGCATGGCCCTCAAAAACATGTACGAATGTACGTCCCGGTGCGGTAACGTCTTCCGTACCGCAAGTTGGCTCGTCCCATCCGGCATGGTCAGCCTCACCAAGTCCACCACACCAAATTTGCCCTTGCCTAACAAGGCTATAAGCTGACAGTTAGCCATCACATCCACATCGAGCTCGTCGCCCTCGAACTCGGGAAGAGTTAAATCGGCGACCAGGTCGGTGTTGGTTGCGGGGGAGCCGCCAGCGGAAGCGGCACGACGGCCGGGGGTGTGGGTGTGGGTGTGGGCGGGTGGTGAGTTGCGCGAGGAGCCGACCTGCGGGTGGGGTGGGGTGTCATGTGAGGCAAAGTGGCGCCGGGTTATTATTATATTATAATACGGGATCGGAAAGGCATTCCATTCCTTCGACGACTACTTTCCGAGGAAATGTCCTCGAGGGGTTTTGTTAAACTGTTCAGGGGTTAGGATTTGCGGATGGTTGTCGGATTGCGGTGAGGTGCGGCTGCGGCTGCGGGAGACGATGGCGTTGCTAACGCCAAAGAACGCCACGATTGCATCACCATTGTGCAGTACCGGTACTAATGCAAGAATAAGACTCCGAATAAATTGGTTTCTTCCTCAGTGTCGCTGTGTCGATAACGAATATGCCCGTGTGTGTGTGTGTGTGTTTACGTACGTGTGTTTAAAAGCATTTGTGCGATTGTAAGGGTGTTAAGAGCAAATGTAATCCTTCGCCTCGCGTAATCGCACACACCACCCGGATGCGTGTGCAGAGAGATACGAGAGCAACGCAACACCTGGGCGGCACCCACCTGGGCGGCACCCACCTGGGCGGCACCCACCTGGGCGGCACCGGGAGAGGGTCTCCAGTAGTCGTCGTCAGCGGCCAACAGTTGCCCAACATCATCCGCAGCCCGTTGGGAAGCGCGCGGAGAGGAAACGGCAATAGCAATAGCAGCCGCAGCAGGTGTGCAAGTAGCAGAAGCAGTAGCAGAGGTGCTTCTCAAGGGGGAGCTCAGGGGACTGTGGCCGAGAAAGCCGCCAGCGCTGGGGCGGGTGCTGGGGGCGTAGCTGGAGAGGAAGTCAAGAAGTCGCTTCTCGTCGGGGTCGGTGAAGGAGCAGGTAAAGCTGGGGCAGGTTGAGGAGGCGCTCGAATGCAGGTGGGTTGCGCAGTCTTCAGTGTCGACCGGCTCAAGGTAGTCGTAGGCGTCAGTGGGTCGGTCAGCGCCAGCCTCGGCATCATCATCTTGCGAGCTGCTGAAGTAGGAGGAAAGCTCGGCGGTCCGGTCCAGACAGTCACCCTCCTGATTGGGACGGAGACGGCAATGGTCAATATTCAAAAGTTGCTGTGGACACTATCGTAGAGTTCTCGGCAGGTTACTTTCAACACGTCGGTGTGCACTAGGAGTTGAATGGATTTAAAGAGGATGCACTTCGGGGATGGCTCCTTGTAAGCACCTGGCGTTGCTCATTGCTCATAAGGAGTCCAACCCGAATCATATGGACTCGCCTGGAAGCTCAGCTCCTCGCAGTTGTCGGCAATTACAGCTGCGTCACCCTCAACGCTGGCGACGGTCTGCTGCAAACAAGGTTAGGAAATACATGGAAAAAAACAGGCATCATCATCATTCCAGCATGCGTTGCTGTCATGTCATCAGGCCAATTGGATGGTTTTAGTAAATACTTTAAGGTATCCAGGTGATGATTTAATAAGTTCGCAGCCACTGCGTGACTAACCAGCCCGTACAGTAACCCAACTACCCAATATCTTGTTACCAAGCCTTAGATGGAGACCGATGACCCACCTTGTCTGCTGCTTTGTCGACAGGGTAAGGAGCGAGGATGCTGGTGATGATAGTCCAGAGAATTGTGCCGAAACCGAACAAGATGGCTGCCACAAAGCCGACTCCGACAAGGACGACGGCAGTGACGCTGCCCAGGAACACAGCCCCAACTATACATGAGACTGCAAGGATTAATGCTGTTGGAATTGCAATGTGTGCCGATATCGCGCAGATTGCGACGGTAAGGCAAAGCGAGCACGATACTAGCGCCATTTTGGAAGGCTGCCTATCGTAGTAAGTTAACCTAAGATGGCTAGGTGATTGAAGGATGTGCAGCTGGCCATATATATAGGTCCAGTGGCAATTGCACGGCATGCAGTAGCCAAGACCGCACAGAACTACTGCTGCTTCGCACAGGAGCCAAGAGCTAGGTTTTCCTCTCACCACAAAACCGCTTGCTTGAGTAAGTTTGAGCTGGATATTTTTCCTGGCAAAACCTGTGTCGAAACTCGCCGAGCTTGCATGCTAGTCATTTATATCGGTGCAGGTCAATCAGTGTCGTCAGAAGTATTATTTATGGTTACATGCTTTTACCCTGAAAGCTCTGCTTTGCTTTGCTCAGGCCTGACAGCTTGAGATTAATCAATTATACGAAGCTGGGAATATGAAGACTGCAGTTTGCAGCATAGATGCAACACACTACACAAAGACCAATGTGCCAGTGCACCTTGGGGACAACCGACCGGATTTCAAGCCTTCTATCCGCTGGGATGTTCACAGAGGGGCAGGTAACACGGCTCCTTTGGTGAAGCAGCCGCCTAGCATCGTTGCATGCATTCATTTCTCGCCCTAATATCCCTTTGTAAGCACCACATGCAGCTGTGGGCACATGGTTTCCTACATGCAGCAAGACTTCGTACTAGACCCATGCCATGACAACGTGACGGACTTTTTAAGAAATGCACACAAGATATGCCACCAGAAAGGTATATGCAGGAAACCAGCGCTCCAAAGCTGGTTCGAGGAAGGCATCCCCGTGTACGGAGACGATGCTTTGCTTCTAATGCAAACCCAGTCATTTGTCCGGAATACATCCACTATGTACAGTGTACAAAGACATATGTGGACTTGCTGTAATTCTGTCTATCGATTGTCGAATGACCAGCGGAACGATGACAATCGTTTCCTTATTGTTGCGATGACACGTTAGAAAGCAACGCTCTTACAATACTTGAATCTACGTGATTGTTTAAAAGATACTGTGCTACTCCAATCAATTGTTAGCACTGACGCCTGCAGGACTGTTCCGCCTCCATTCCAAGCCATGGCCACCGAAACGCAGCTTACGCCGAGCCTGCAAGACCTCACTTTTGAGGTAGACGCCAGGCGAGAATGGACACCTCCCAATCCCCACTCGCCCAACGAGAAACTCTGGGACGCCTCCCCCATCCGAAACGTGACATCCACCTCGAGCGCCATCGGCCATCGGTCCTCCATCACTGCCAAGCCGGCCGCCCGCCCTGCCACAGACACTCGCGTGTACGACATCCGCCGCGCACATCCTCCCCCCATGCCTACCCCCACCCCCAACCAACAGCACCCCTCCCTCTCCACCATCTCCTCACCCTTACCTCCAGCTCCCGCGCCCCCACCCGCGCCCCAACAGTCCCCCCCCCAGCCCTGCACCACATCCAGCGCTGCCGCCAACCCCATCTCTACCTCCCCCTCCAGCCCCGACCCGGCACCCCGCAGTAACCCCACCTCCACCTCCACCTCCACCTCCAACCCCCGACGGAACAACCTCAGCCCCGTTCGCATCGTCAACTCGGAATCCAGCTTTCCACAGCTCTCATTTTCCGAGCTACCTGCCGTACGAGGTCAAACCGTCACATCACTCTCTCCAACTGCTTCCGCCGCCGTAACGGCTGCAGCGAGCGGCGGCGGCGGCGGCGCCAATGTAGGCAGCAGTTGTCGTCGGTCTCCGACTGAGTCACCTGGTGCCGGGGGGGGTGTCGGCGGGGGGGTTGCTGCGGGTCCCTCACACCGCCGAGGTACCACTAGTGGAGGTGGAGGTGGAGGTGGGAGTTTAGGGTGCACATTTCCTCGCCAGCTCGCAGACCATCTCAGTGCCATGTCATCACACACCTCGTACATGCAGGTGGGGGGAGGGGGGGGAGGGGGGGGGGCCGCGGGTTCGTGGAGGGGCTGGGTAGCGGTGCGGCAGGCGTGGATGAGCAGGGGGGGAGGGCGGTTGTGGTACGTGAGGGGTTGGGGGTAGGGGTGGGTTTCACGCGGTGGTTCCTGTAGGTGAGAGGAGAAATAAGCGGATGGGCGGACCCCCTAGGCGGGCTGTGAGGCGGGCTGTGACATCGCAGAGAGGGGCCCTGGGGGGTCCCCCGGGTGAGCGGGGGAGGACTGTTTGTGTGGGGGCTGTGCGGGAGGCGACACGTACATGCACATGTACGTGTATATGTACATACATACATACATACATACATACATACATACATACATACATACATACATACATACATACATACATACATACATACATATACACAAACTCATCTGCTCCTCCTTAACTATTACCCACACCCCTGTTTACCTCTTTCTCCCCCCCTCTATCTCAACATCTGCGTATTTACATACATACAGGACCCTGTGGACACGTACCTGGTTCGGTTTCAGATGCACCAGCGAATCCGAGATCAGTTTCGAGTACGACAGGACGAGCATTTCCGTACGGTTCAGGAGCTGGAGGCCAGGATTCAGGTCTGGCTGTCTGAACCGCTTTAAAAGAGGGGGCTGCTACTGCAGCTACTGCTTCAGCCGGTGGCGTGTGTTTGTCCCACCCTAGGGGAAAGGGAGCAGGGGACAGGAGGGGACATACGCGGCATGCAAAAGCCCCTTTAATGCCACGAAACACACCACCACTACCCCCGCCTGCTGTCCCCGGGCCCCCTTCAGGCCATGACCCGGGTAGCGGTCCCCGGGGTTTCCCCCTCTCCAGGGGCCCCGAGTCCGGGGGCTGAGGGGGCTGAGGGCGGCAGCAGGAGCCCGCCCCCCCCGCCCCGCCAACCCGCTCCAGGGAGCCCGGTGCCACCCGGACAGAGAGCTGCGCCCGCAGGTGGCCCCGGGGGGGGCTGTGCAGTCGGAGGGGGGTGGGGGTGCACGGGGCCATTGTACTGGGGGGGAAAGGGGAGGCTGGGGACGTGGTGGATCCTTGTCCCGAGGGGAACTGCACTCGTACACACACACACACACACACACACACACACCACTCCAGGGGGGTTGCCCCTCCGTCAGCCACAACCCGACCAGGGCCTTACTAAAATCACCCACGCAGTATATTCTGGTTCATACGTTTGAATTTTCCGTACACAAATACACACCGCAGGCACCGGCACCTTCCTCCTATCCCAGCAACAACATCAACAGCAGCAGCAGCAGCAGCCCCCATCACTTCCCGACCACCCCCTCCAGCCCCGCAACCGCTTCATACCCCAACTCGCAGCCTCGAGCAACCACATCGTCACCAACATCAACACCATGGGCACCGCCGCCGCCTCCCGCGTTGCCTCGGCCCCACCTCGCCACCCTAGCCCCTCCTCCTCTCCCTCCCCCTCCACCGCCTCCCCCGTCTCCAGCCGCGGACCCTCCGCACCCCGCACTCGCTCCCACTCCCCCAGCCGCTCCCCGTCCCCCAACCCAATGAGGTGTGGACTCACAGCCGACGGTACGGAACCTAGTTTTGGTCTGGGAATCGCACCTGGCGGTGGAAGCGGCGGTGGAAGCGGCGGCGGCGGAAGTGGTTGCTTTGACGTTGCGTTTGCAGCGGCGGCAGTCGCGGCGGCGGCGGCGGCGGGTGCAAGTGCTGGCGGAGCTTCCGGGACCCAGGCGTCCGCTGGCGGCGCCGCTGCTGCTGCTGCTGCTGCTGCTGCTGCTGCTCCGCCTCATGGCGCCTATTTGGCCCTCCCTGACGTGAGCTTTGCGGGCAGCCCCCCTCTGCGGGGTGTGCCCACCACCGGGGGTCTGCTGTTCGAGAGGTACACCAAGAAGGGGGCGGCGACAAACCTCCCGGAGCTGCAGGTAGGGTGTGGTGTGTGTGTGTGTGTGTGTGTGTGGTGTGGCGGGGGAGAAATTTGGGTGCGGGTGACCATCTCCCCCCCGGATCCTGCCTCTGGGGCTGCTGCCTCATCCCCGCGCACATTTCAAGTCCTCATCCTGCTGCGAGCCATCCTCACCTTCCCTCCCTGATTCCCCCTTTTCTGCTGCCGGGCCCCGCCAAATAAATTCAAATTCAAATCCATCTGGACGATCCTGGGATCCTGAACTGTACGGACGGAACGTACGGCGGCTTTGCGACTGGATCCGGATCTTAGTTGCGGTACATCCGCCCCGGGATAGCTCCCGTCCAGGAACAACGGCCGCTGGTGAGAGTGTGTATGAGTGGCTGTGGGCGGGTTTAAGGGTTTTTTCATGCGGTTGGTCTCATACTTGGCGATTCCGTGCTGTAGGACCCCCCGATCCCTCGAGCTTTTGAACCCCCCTGGCCCTAACCCCCTACCTATTGTGCTTCGGATGCGGTTCATGGCTCCAAACCCGCTCGGGCCCCCCCCCGGCTTGGCGAGCTCATTCTCACCCGTTCCCCGCCGCCTTTCCACCGCCACCACCACCACCGCCACCACCACCGCCACCGCCACCACAGAGACGAGCTCCTCGCCAACCCGGGCCCCCCACCCGAGCCCTGCCCAACGGCATCCCAGCGAGCAGGTGCGTGTGTGTGTGTGTATGTGTTCATGTAGTGGGAGCAGCAGCATTGAGTCACCAAACCAGCTCACCACACATCAGGGTGTTGGCTGTATGTCTACCGACCCCTCTCCCCCTCACGCACACACACGTGTATAGCTGGTGGGCCGGCTTTAAGTGCCAACGGAAAGAAGTATGGAACGCGGCAGGTGCTGCATGTCGCTGGCACACGTAAATAGTATTTGCGTGTTTTTTTAAGGAAAGGAGGGTGAGGGGAGGGAAACAAGGTACCCCCTCAGCCACCCGCTCGCCAGCTCAGCCAACAGTGGGTCGTCTGAACCCTCAGCCACCCGACCGCTCACACATGACGCACTCAACCCTCTTACCCCAACCCCCCCCTCCCCCACCGCCGGAAACCAGGCTGGAGCGTCTCTCCGCGCGGCGGCGTGACCGCAGCCCTCCCCGCTACTTGCAAAAACAACTCATCCTCCTCGAGCAGCAACTGAACAACAACAACAACAGCAACAACAACAATACCTCTGGCGAGCTCCTCCGGTTCACGGGCGCCCCCATCTCTTCCTCCGCTGACAACAAACCCCCCACATCCTTCAACATACACAACAGCAGTCTCGTCGGAGGACCCAATGGCAAACTCTCTGCCGCCGCCGCAGGCGGCAGCGGCGCCGCCGACCTGGCGGCCGTCGGCGACGGTTTGCTCCGATCCCCCGCGCTCTCCAGCCCAGCTGGCGGTGGCTTTGGCGTTAACGGGCCTCGCGCGATGTCGGCCCCGTCAACGATGTCTGACGCCGGCGGCGGTGCACTCGCGCAGTACTTGGCGGTTCCGACGTCATCTGCATCCGGTGAGCCGTTGCTGGATGAGAACTTTTACGATGTGCTGCAGCAGCACTTCCGCAGCAGCCTCTACGCCCAGACACAGCAGCTCAGATCGCGACTTAATGTGAACTTGCCGCTGGTGCTGGGGGCGCTCAACTGCGTCAACGTGACGGAGCCGCAGCCGCCACCGCGGCCGTCGTCGTCGTCGCTGCGCCGTAGTGGCAATGCTGACGGCGGCGGCGGCGGCGGCAGCAGCGGTGGTGGTGGTGGTGGTGGAGGTAATGAGGGTGGGGTTGGGGGGTAGGCGCAAAGCGGAGGCTCTGGCTGGAGTGAATGCGGCACATTAAAAAGCGTTATGCTTCTTCCCAGGCTGTCCTAATTTGAGGGCGCATCCTGTTTTAGCATGTAGGTGTGGTGGTTCGTGCTCAGGGTAGACTTGCTTAGGGTTCCGGATAATCAATAGTTCTTAGCTAGCCCGGTATCCCAAAGGTTTCCGTCTTCTTTGGTTTACCCTTTGGTTCCCCGGGGCTAAAGGTCACACGCTCCAAACCAAACGTGGCATCATGGCTACATTGATACGTGCCGGTTTTTTTCCATTTGGGATGCACCTCTCCCCGGCGGATGCCCGGGGGTTTGGGGGAAGGTGTGAATGGTGGTGCGGTGTGGAAGGGGGAGATGTAGCTGCACTTGTTAGGTGGTGAGGTGCTTGTGTAGTGCCCCGGTATGGGTGTGCGTGTGTGGGTGTAGGTTTGCAAACAGAGAGACTGAGTATGCGTTTGCCCTAGGTGCGTTGAGCGCATGATTCCATGCCTTGGTTTCTGGTAGTGGTGGTTGTGCGGACGGGGATAAGGTTCTCGGTGCCTGCTGGGTTTACGGGCCGGACACCCGTTGCAGAGCTGTTGACAAGCACGCACGGACGCAGGCCTCAGAAGGCCCTTGAGGAGCTGTTTGAGGCCAAGCAATCCATCGTTCAAGCAGCGCTTTATGTTGCAATCGAGTCGCAAGGAGCGGTTGAGGGAGCGGAGAGCTGGGCCGTGCAGAGCTGCGAGGGGGAAGGGGTGCTGGCTGACGTGATGCGTTAGAGTAGTGGGTTTTAGGGATTTAAAAACCCTAGGATGCGTTAGATCCGATTTTCGAGGCAACTTTCCGGTCTGGTGTCATCATGTTGTGAAATGGATTGCGTTAGGGACTCTGAAAAATCTCCGGCTCAAACTTTATTTGACGGAACGTTTTCCATAGAACAGACGAATAGTCCCGCAGTCATTAGTGCAACGGTGGACCTCTGGGAGCGCGGCAGTCCTAAGAAACAAGCCTGGTGAACAAAAAACCTCTGTCTAGGTGAACGACGGACCTGGTCAACTCAAAAAGACTGCACGCGGAGCTACTAGTCATTTAAACCTGAGGGATACGGCGCAAGGGGGCCGTCTGAGGAAGTATCCTGAAGGGCTATGGGGAGGGGAGGGTACGGAGGGATACAATCCCCCCTGTGCTCCAGTGAAAACTCTCATCCAACGTGTCGCCACGACAACAACACCCATTGAATCTTCCCCCTGATTTACTGAGCCCCTCTGATTACTGTGCGGTGATGGTGGATACTACTACATTCCAACACACACAAACCGCCGCACATGTTTTCCGGTCCCTACCCAAAATCCCCGGTGCCCGATTGGTAACCGGAAGAATAATAAGTCCTGAGAAATAAAAATTAATAGTATGATGCCACACACAAAAAATTATCCCATCCTGCTTTTCTTAGAATGAGCAGTTGCTCATCGCGTCTGGGGAAAATCGCAATCGCATTAGAAGAACGGGAAACAAATCCATCGACCCCTTCCTCTCCTGCCCTCCCCCCTGGCACGGGCCCTGATTTCTTTCTGTTAGTGCTGGGCTATAAGGTCACATCGATTGCAGGCCAGGTTGCAGGCGCCCGGGGACCCCAGCTGCCCCACCATGTAGCCAGGGTTGGATTCGCACTCCCCAGACTCCGCCCTGGGGGTTGAAGGCAGCCAATGGACAAGTTCACCGTACAGGCGTACGGCACTACAACATTTGTTGCCGTACTGGACACAAGCAGGACACTATCTCATGTGGAATGGGGGAAGGTATCCAAGTTGAGATTGGAACACCGGACCTCGACCCGCATGGGGACAGAGAATGAACCTCTTGAACACTCCCCGCGCGCGCACACATGCATACATACATACATAATACGTACATACATACATACATGTAGAGAGAAGCCTAAGGGCTTACCAATGGTCGCACAGTTTATGGGTGTTGATACAGCCCGGCACCGCGGGGGGCGGAGGCGGCGCGTAGATGACCCGAGTTACCTCCACCGCCTTCTCCGCGCCCATGGAGTAGGGGCCCACGTGAATCCTGATGTGTGGCGGGGAACACATACATACATACATACAGGGGGAAGGGGAAAGACGAACCACGAACGAGTGAAGCTGCTGCCAAGGAAAGAGTTTACAAGAAGCAGAACTGAAGGAGGGGGAAGGGGAAAGGGGGAAGGAACAGCCGCAGGCGGGCCCGCGGGGCGTGTGTGTGTATATTAATGATCTAAGCCACGGCGTGTTGTGTGCCTGCATGTGGTGGTCGCTGGCGGGATGCCTTCGCGGCTTGGTGCTGGAGCTGGAGCTAGGAGGTCAAGTTCTCATCACAACCAGATCACAGCACAGCACGTCAGCGGCTACTCCCCAGCACTGCGCTTCAATTCATCGGTGGGCGCATTAGGGACTCCGTTTTAAGAACCCCTTCCCTCAGCCCATTTGCCTGACTGGGCCTGACTGCCCCTGTCCCAGCCCCTGCCTCAACAAGTGGCGGCGAGGAGCTCCTTCCCCCCTTTCCCCCCTCCCTCCCTCCCTCCCTGCCTCCCGCCCCCCATCCCCTCCCTCCCTCCCTGCCTCACCACTTTGTGGCACTCCACTTGACTCCCCGAATGACGGGGCAGCTGCCGTGAAGTGAGCCGGGTTCGAACCGGCCATCAGGCCTGATGGACCAGAACAGCACCGCATCCCCCTTCACCGGCTTCACCGCCAGGCCCTTCATCCCGCACTCGGAAAAGTTGGCCCGGGTCTGACCGGCAGGCACCGGAATCTGCGCGCGAGGTGACCCGCCGGGTTGGACAGAACGGGGGGAGAGGAAGCGGAGATGAGGTGAGGTGAGGTGGGAATACTATTCCTACTGTTCTAGTCCTTACACAAACAAAGGAATTTCATTAGAATTATTGTGACATATATATACACACGACGCAAAGGATTACCGATTGGTGGAGGAAAGTGCACCCCCCCCAAACCCTCACCTTGGGGAACACCGTCTCTCCGCCCTCCTCGGGAGTGGCCAGGTACATGAGCACTGTGGCCATACTGGGGGATGGAGGTAGAGGGGGTAGAAGGGGGTAGAGGGTAAAGGGAGGTAGAGGGAATAGGGGGTAGAGGGGGGAAAGACGAACCACGAACGAGTGAAGCTGCTGCCAGGGCAAGAATGGTAGAGGGGGAACGGTGACGCCAGCATGCCATTTTTGCTGTCCTCAGCGGAATAACCCCTTGGGGAATTGCTAGCGGGTGGTACGCTGGCGCGCGCGCGCGTGTGTGTGTGTGTGTGTGAGAGAGAGAGAATTTGGATGCAAAACCCGCCCTACCCAACCAGCCTCCTGGATTCCCACCACCACCACCACCCACGTCCAGGTCTCCTCCTCCATCTTTCTCTACGGAACATCAGTGTTCTGTGACATATAAACACATACATACGTAGCCTACACATCCTCTCCAGTATTATTCCCCGCCTCCACTGTAACCCCCCACTGTAACCCCCCACGCCCTGCCCCCCTGCACCCACACCCGCCCGGCGATCGCGCACCGGTTGCCTCCGTTCGCGTCTCGGCCCTCGAAAGAGAAGTAGTCGTGGTGCGGGTCGTACTTTTGTGTTTTCTGCGGGTTGGGGAGGGACGGGGGAGGAAACAGGGCGGGGGGGGGGGTGAAGGCACCAGGCAACGAAAAGGCGATAAGTTAACAGAAATGCCCCGCTCGTCACCTGCACGCGACCCTGAAAAAGAAACCTCCATTCGGGGCCCCCAGGCTGCTTCTTCCCCCGCCCCCCTCACTCCCCCCCAGACACACATACACGCCATTCGTCCCCCCTTTCCCTTGTCGCTACCTTCAGCCCCCCAACCCCCACCCCCCCGTCCCTCCTGCCCCTCCCCCTCTTACCCACCTCATATCTCAGCACCTGGATTCCCTCGCCATTCTCCACTGGTAACATGGTCCACATGGCCAGACGGGTCTCAATCCGCTTTACAACATCGTTCTCGCCTCGCGCTGTGTTGCGCGCGTATTGGGCAAGTGGGAGTTGGGAAGGCGCGTTGGGGTTTTCATGGTTCGGGGAGGGGTGAGGCAGGGAGGGAGGGAGGGGGGTGATGGCGGTTATATAGGTTCGGCGGCTTGATGTTGGGTTCAGGTTTGCTGTATGCCTTCGAAATTTCTGTTTGCGGGTTACTGCCGTGCTGCCCGGTAGGTTTCTCAGGACGCGTGTCTTACTCTTTATTTACGGGTTGGACAAAGCTGATTCTGGATGTACTGTCTGGGGAAAGCTAGGAGCCGTTCGACCTTGCAATTACAGCGCGGTTAGGCTTGTTGTTGAAGCTGTTTGTCCAGCTTGACTTGCCGCGACCCCACGCGCGTCCCAATACCCGCGCGTCCCAATACCCATGCGTCCCAAGACCCCAATACGTGCACGTCCTTACTGTAGAACATTCCGGACGACGTTCGGATGTCTGAGACCCCTCCCTCTCCTGTTGTAGCGTCTGACACGCCAGACCGTTCAAGGCGGCCTTGCGCTATCTTGATCAAGTAGTCGCATTCCTCTGTGCGTGGACGGCAACGGCTAAGCGTGATCAAGTAGTCGCAGTTATCAATGTGTACTTGGAAAAGCATTCAACTATGCATTCTAAATTATGGCAAGCCCGGCAGAAGCACACACCCTGCGTGAGGATGCCCTTGTAGAGGAAGACCCGTGGTTGCCATGAAAGCACCACCATCCTGCTGTCCGGAACATCGGTTCTTCCGCTCCTGTAGGTTTCTCCAAGCCACCTGAGGCGATAGATAGTACGTTGACTAGTGGGTTCATATTTTAAGATGAAAGGACTGACCGCAGTCGCTCACCCTATCAAATCTCGTCCTACATCTTCCACTGCCATAGATAATGGTGTTGTCGTGACCGCTAATGCGAGTATAAGGAGCAGGACTTGGCCTTCCATGCTGTGCAAAGCACAGGGGAGTCCTGGCGAAAGGGTCACAAAAAAACAAAAATATGACTCATATCGACTTGCTTTTAGAAGATGCTTGGGGACTTGGGCCTACTCGGTCTCGATCCAAGCGCGCCGTAACAGGCAGCAACAGCTTTGCAGCTTTTGCTAGGGAGTCGCCTCCGGTGTCATACTCGTGCCAAAGTTCCAGATACAAGTTACCGAGGTCTTGCCATGGATTTCCTTCAGCCATAAGGCAACGAATACGCGACGAGGGCAACGCTTCCATGCCTTCCTGATGGTCAGCCTCCCTGTTGACAAGCCCTCCATATCATGTTTCAAAATCCTACGTGCTCGTAGCGATTGATTCCCTTTGCTTGAAGTCTGAAATCCGAAGCGTGCGGTACCGGTACGGTAAGGGTAGGGTACGGTTACCGATTTAACGGTACGGTTACAAGAACGGCTTCCTGGTGTACAGCTGTGCATTATAATTCCGTGCTCTGTAGCGCCTTTTATGGTAACGTGACATCCAACAGCATGGAGAGCCGCTGCCACCGTGGCCGCTCCAAAGCTTGTAAAGCCCATCTAGCCCATCACCACTGCATAACCCCGTTTGAAGCCGGCTACAACTACAGGAAAATTCCGATGTCAGTTAAATGTCAGCACTTACGGTGAGAGTGGATGTGGGGATGTGATTAGGGATTGCACGTGTAGGCATGCGAACATATAGTTGGATAATGGGACAGCTGCAGCATTGGGTGAATTGCATTGTGCACTGCTTCAGACACGACCTGGTGAGGAATGCTTGAATGCTTTTCCTCGGCAAGAATTTCTTGATGCCGCTTGCTGCCAATCGCTGGTTTGGTCTTTCGGTTGGGTTAACGAATGTGCCGCATTCCCATATCGACTTATGTGAATGGTCAACACACACTCGGGCAGTAGATGATACAATATTCACTATTCGGATTTATCTGGGTGTTCTATCCGGCTTTGGTACCGTATATCAACTCGTTGTCCAAGGGGCCTGTCGGTCAGAAGCTTTGGCCTCCTGCTTTTGCCACGTGCCACGTTTTGCACTACTCATTGCGGCTGAGTCTACGCGTCTCGTAGTGTATACTTTATTATGCGTTCCGAGCATGACTTTGTATCATCCATCTGGTCGTGGCCGCAATTCCCAAAGCCCAAGCCGCGTTGATAATCACCATCGCCGCGTCGCTCACGGTTGCCGTACGTCTAGGGTGTTTTTGGGGCAGTCAGCTCTACATGGTAATCGACGACCTAAATAGCATTGGCTTCATGCTGAGATAGAAAATCACAAAGAGGGCAACGAAAAATAACAACTGCAATAACGCAGATCCTGCGCAACAATGCCCATCACTGTTTGTGGTAGGAGCGATATGCGTGCACGTATGACCAAGTGCGTAGGAATGCATCGGTAAGACTATAAACAGCAATTATCTTTTATTGATGTGGCACGTATCGCTGTATTATATAAGATTCTTAGCGGTTAGGATTTTATATCCGTTTGCGTTTCATACGCCATCCATTAGCATCGTGAACAGGGAAGAATAGGGATTTCTTAAGAAGATGTCTCAGCTACGTCGCGAACGTATCATTTACTTGACAACTTGGCAAGTCGCCTTGAAGGCAACTTTTACAGCTTGGCAGCCACAAATCTACCTTCCGAACCGGATGCTCCACGATCTACGTAATATCGCTATATTTTATCCATTATCCTTGCCGGAACATCTTCATGGCTTGTCGCAGTTTCACCCCTTTCGCGCCAACCGCCCTGTTTCTGTCCTCCCCTTTTCGCGTATGAACCTGCTGCAGCGCCCGATCCGCCCAACCGGCACTTCCGATGCCCCTCTGCTGCCGCCCGTCAACATCATCACTCCGTCCTCTGCAACCGAGGCTCGCAACTCGGATCCTGTCGTTCAGCGGCAGCTCTGGATCTGCCACCCGCAGTAGCGGCAACACGCCTTCTCTGGAGGGGAGGTCGCCAGGGGCAGTGGCGGCCGCCGCAGCAGTGGCGACGATGACGTCCACTTCCAGCTCTTTGACGGCTCCTGAGGCCGCCAAACCCACACCTGCACCCGGAGTAAACCAACCAAAACCCGACTTCGTGTGGACCAGGTGCGGCGGGTCACACGGCCACGAGGCTTGTGCGACAACGAAAGCGTGCGTGTACTTGGTAACAACTACACACGGGCCGCCTCCGTCGTTTCGCTACCCAAAATAAACGCCCCTCGCAATGAGCACTACGGTTTTTCCAACACACTCAAGCGGCAAGCCCTCACCCTTCCTCTCCCCTCGGGCCACTGTACGTGCGGGCCCCCTCCCGCAGGCACTGGTGGCCGCTGATCCCCGTGGACTACCTCAAGCCCGACCGCCCCAACCCCGTCACTCTGCTGGGCATCACGATGGTGGTGTGGAGGGACGCGGGCGGCAGGTGGCGCGTGTTCCGAGACCGCTGTCCGCACCGCCTGGCGCCGCTGTCGGAGGGTCGAGTGGAGTCGGACGGCTCGCTGTCCTGCGCGTACCACGGCTGGCGCTTCGATGGTTCCGGAGCCTGTCGCCGAATTCCGCAGGCGGTGGATGCGGCATCAGAGGCGGCGGCGTGCAGCAGCAGGCGGTCCTGTGCCACAGCCTACCCCGCCCGAGTCGAGGTAAGCGTGTTTGTGTGTATGTACGGATGCATAAGGAAGTACGGCATACTCCGCACTCGTACATAGCATAGCAAAGCGTCTTTTGTACCTCCCATCATTCCCCAAGCGGCGCCGCTTTCACCGCGCATTTTCAACACCCGCCGTCGCCTCCGAAACCAAATTTATTCTCATTTTTATTGTGCCAGAGACTTTCCGCTACACGGCGGTGTGCTTCCGGTCTCCAGAGCTTCACCACAGCTCTTCTTGTCCGACTGCCTTACCAACCCTGACACACGTTCCTAAACACAAACGCATTACCTTTTTTTACATGTCTCAACACACCAACATCCTTCCGCTACAGTTCAACATGTTGTGGGTGTGGCCCGACGCATCGCCTGACGCGGAGGCTGCAGCGGCCGCTACCGAACTCGTCGTCAGCAACGACCTGCGCCGCAGGGACAACCCAGGTGGTACGAACTTTTCGTGGTTTATGCGAGACCTGCCGTACAGCTACGAGATTTTACTGGAGAATCTGACGGACCCTTCACACTTACCATTCAGCCACCACGGGCACAGCCCGGCTTTGGCGAGGTGGGTGGTATCTTTAGAGAAGTCGTCGGCCGACGTCTAGGGCCCTGCGAGGGAACGGGGGCGTGACCGAGTGACCAATCGGGTTAAGGGCAGTGAAGGTGCTTCAGGTGTAGGAGGCGTCAAGTTTCAGGGCCCCCGGACACGCTTCGCGCTGCGACCTAAAGTTAAACCTGCATCGAGTGTCGAGTGCAGCGCATGCCGAAATATCGATTGGCATACGACATTCGAGCATCGGGTTCCGTGCGTCACGTGCAGGGCGTCGAGTGTATGTCGAGTGCCATCTGAACGTCGAGCGTTGGTGGTTGGTGGTTGGTGGTTCGTCACTGAGCCTTCCTTGTACATATGATTGAAGGCGACGAGCAATGGCTGTACAACTGAAGTCATCCTCTGCCGCCGTCATCACCGCCGTGGTCGTTACCATCGGCGCTTTGCACGACACACAATGACAAACAGGGACAAAGGTGGCGCCATGCCGATGAAGCCATCCCAGGACGTCACCACTGCCGCTGCCGGCGCTGAGTCACCCACACCACCACCCCAATGGGCTCGTCCCGATGGTCCGGATTTCGAGTTTGACTTCCGGGGTAACATCTCCCCAGACGCCACCATCAGTGTCCACATGCCACATCAAGTAATGTACACCTACCGCTTGGGGCCGCAGGTGTGTGTGTGTGTGGGGGGGGGCGTGTGTGCATGGTTCGGGAGTTTTTGGCAACTGTGGGTGTGTGGGTGTGTGAACGTTCACGGAGAGGCATGATATCGTGTTGCGCGACCGGAAGAGCTGCAGCGCTTTTTCGACACTGCCTATCCGGGAGTTCTCCGTGACCCACACATGAGCACGCAGACAGCCAGGCGACAGCTCCCCAGCCAAGAGGCCAACGCGATAAACAACACCACGAACTCCACCCGCACCTCGGACTTGAAGAACACAGGCCCAGTCGTCTCCTAATAGCTGCTCACACGACACTGAATCCGTCTTATATCAATCAATGATCGCTCCATAATGGATAACCCCTGGGCCATAGGCGACCACGCGGCGGTCGCCTTCGTCCTTCAACCCACCCACCCACCCACTAGAAGTCCCATGGTGCCATAAACCCGCACGCGCCTGCTGCATCCCCCCTGCCCCATCAGTCTTTCCTTGGCAGCAGCTTCACTCGCCCCTGGTTCGTCTCTTCCCCCCCTTCCTCCCCTCCCTCCCGCCCCACTCCGCACGGGACCCCCCCCTCCTCACAGTTCCAGATACGCATGGAGCTGTTCGCGGTCCCGGTGGCGCCGGGGCGGAGCCGCTTCTTCTCCTTCTACTCCCGGATTCCGATTCGCTTCTCACCACAGAAGCTGCTAACTGGGGGTGTCGTACAGGCCGCCAAGTACCTGCTGTACGTGTGAGTGAGCGCCCCGGAAGCCAGCCTTACTTGAGCTGGGCCCCCTGGCAGTACACATACATACACACACACTCACTCACTCTCACTGTGGGAACTTGCCGGGGATCCGTCCATATCACAGCCAGTAGTTGAAGGGAGAGTGTGCCTGTGCTGTTCATTACCCCGAGCATGGGGATTACCTGAGGCATGGGCTGCTGTCTGCTGGCTGCCTCTTGAAATTGTGGACAAGTCTTGGATACATACGTACACATCATGGTCACCCAACGGCCCTTGCGCTGTGTTTTGACCTCGGACCCAGGCTCCGGAAGGTATCAGTGTCCTCCTCTACGTTAACGCGTCATATATCCATCTGCTGTATTAAACACGTATTCAACACAGGTGGGACCCGGTGGTGCTGTCGCATTTGTCTACACACGAGATTTTGGACGGTGACAGTGTCTTCCTCAGCGTACAGGTGAGTGCATACATACATACCGACTTGTGCTGTGTGCTCCCGACCCTTGCGCTGTGTTTCGGCTTCGGCCCCCGGCTCTCGCGGCCCACAGTGTAATCTAATACATACATACATACATACATACATACATACATACATACATACATACATACATACATACATACATACATACATACATACATACATACATACATACATACATACATACATACATACATACATACATACATACATACATACATACATACATACATACATACATACATACAACAGGTCAAGCACTACGGGTAGAGCACGCACCGATGCCCCCCGAGGTTCCGGGATCGAGACCTGTCAAGGTCGAAAAATCCTTCCGATGGTGGAAGGTGAAGTGCCCCTAGTCGATGGACGGTGGACAAAGCAGACCTGCGAGCTGACCAGGGATGGAGTTGAGCCGCCGTCGATCCGGCAGATTCCGTTGGATGCCGGTGGTGGGTGCGGAACCTGAGCGATCCACTGAGAAGTTGACTAGGGCGACTAGATGAGGGTGCCCCGAAACACCGGGGAAGGCAGGGTCTGCCGGGTAGCGGCCGCAGGGTGAAGATATGACCCCCCTGTCCCACACATCATACATGCGTGAGGAGGTTGGCTGGGATAGGTATGTGCTCCAGTTGTCGGGGATTTGGGAGTGATGCTGAGCAATCCAAATGTTCCAAGATGATGTGCAGCAGCAACCCCTGGCCACATATCCTGGCTGATGCCTGTGGATGCGTGTGCAACGTGCTTCACGCACGGTTGATGAACCGCTCGCATCAGGATGAGGTGGTGCAGGAGGCTGAGGAGCGTGCTGCCATCACCGCCACGGTCCCTGGCGGGGACCCCGTCGTCACCGCCAAGGACGCGGCAGCCGCAGCCGCCAATGGCGGCGGCGCCGCCAGAAGCGCTAGTACACTGTTGTCACGGCTGTACTACATGCCAGCTCAGGCGGACGCTGCCGTACAGGCGGGCCGGCGGTGGATTGAGGAGCGTGCGGGTGGGGCCCCGTTCCGGGCTCGACAGCAGCAGCTGCTGGCGGGCCGAGCGGCAACCATCGGCGCCGCCACCGATATCAGTGGATCGGCGGAAACGTTGACGACGGGCGGCCTAGTGGGGCTGCTAGCGGCGGATAAGGTGCCTGGAGAGGTGAGAGTGAACCGGATAGTGTGGGGATCATCTGCAGCCTGTGGGGTAAGCCGCACACACAGTATAATATCAACATGCCTGCCAGATGCACTTCAAGAGCAGTACACCGGCACGAGGTATTTGTTATGCATATGATAGGACAGGAATTGCATTACACAATCACAAGCGATTACACTGCTCATGTGGGCCGTATCCGGCCGCCATCTGCTCGATGTGGGTTAGCTTCCGGGGCCTGAAGTACATGTCCTTGACATACGGTACCGCTTATATCACCGCTTACATCATCTTGCCTTGGTTCCCACGGCTCCCCGGTACTCTGTCTCCGACAAGTCCACTTCCCAGATACACCCTTCGAACCCGCCCCGAGCCCTGACGCCGACTTCATGTTGGACCTTCCATGTATTCTCCGAGCAATACATCGTTTCATAAACCCGACCTTTACCCCATTCGCGCAGCCTTCCACACTGCTTGCCCCGCCCCGCCTCACCCCCTACCATCAACCTCCCCTGCAGGCCCCAGATCCCCAGCGCCGGCGCCATTTGCTCAGTCGCTACGAGCAGCACACCCGGCATTGCCCCTCCTGCAGCAAACGCCTGCAGCAGTTGCAGCAGATGGTGGCGGCGGCCGCTGCCGTACAGAAGATATGTCTGTTGGGCATGTGTGTCGCTGGTGGTGCTCTAAGCGCCGTGTTGGCGGTGGCGGCGGCGGCGGCGGCTGCACCAGCGGCCGTACCCTGGGCACTGCCGGCGGCGGCGCTGGCGGGCTCGGCGGCGCTGTGGGCGGTGGCTGGCGGGCTGGCGGCGGCAGCGGAGACCGTGTCTAAGATGTTTATCTTCCAAGACCACGTGCACGCGGACAAGAACTGAAGAACAGCCCGATGTCAATCCTTCCTCCCACCTCCACCGTAACCCTTTCCCAGTTGTCATCCACTACAGCGATGGCGCATGAGTGTCGTGGGAGGTATTGGCAGTATTATTAGCAGCATCAACAGGCACGGTGCGTGGGGTGGCGGCGGCGACGGCGCATCTTCGTGCATATAGCGCAGCCATTCATAATCCCAGAGACACAACAAACGTTTTGGAGAACTGTTAAATACCCCGAGCTTTTCTGGTATTGCGGTTTTCTGATACATGTTATGCTGTACAGGAGGTGGAGACCAAACCAATCTCTATACATCTATCTATCTATATATGTGTGTGTATATATTCTGAACGAGTTCTCTACGCGGCTCGATGCGAGGTGGAGTGTGCCAGCACCCCGGAGTCGACCCGCGGGGGGAGCTTTCCCACCGGAGTCACCGGATGGGTTGTGAAGGCGCATGCCGGTGTCTGAACTGGATGAGGGCATCTCCCATAGTAAGGGAGCGCGGCTGGGGTGGCTCGCCACCACCGGGGCTGTGCCGCTTAGGCCATTGCACCAGGTGCTCACGCGTTTCATATTTAGGTCGTTGGGAGCTGGAAGTTAACTACGCGCGTAATGGCCGCATGTGTGCTGCGGGTACCTGCAGGCCTTGTGACTGCGGAGTAGTCGAGGGTGAGCTGCATGTCTATTCCCTGAATGCCCTAGCCCATCGAGTCAAAAACGAGGGGGACATTGGCATCCGAGGGCGCGAAACGTGTATATAACAGTTATGGCTGAAGGCCACCTTTTTGCTGTGGCTAGTTTTCTTTCTGGAGGTCTGGAGGTCTCCGATTTCCAAAAGTGTGAGCTCTGCCGTACTGCCGATCACCTCCTACAAGCATAGCCCAATTTCTATGCCCCAGGCGCAATCTTCCTTATAGTTCATGTTTGCAGCAGCTTACGGGTTGTTTACGAGAGACGTATCAATAGTGCGCAGCTTGCTTGTGCTCCACACTATCAACTAGGCTTAATGCCCCTGTGGTCCTGAAATTGGCTGTGTATAACCTTGGTTGTGTAAGACCTTTTCCACACACGGAAGTTGAGTAATAGGCAACAAGCATGAAGGAGCTGACCAGCCGCGGCAAAATTGCTGCGCTTAGGCAATGGGTTATCGTAAAGTGTTTTTAATGGATAGGATATAGGGTAGAGCTGCCGTTAAATGGCTCAGGTCAGCGTAATTGTTCACTGCAGCTCGAGGTTCTGGAAGGTCGGGTGCGGGCCCATTACCGCGTAACGAGTATTCGGGACCTTTAAGGAGAAGTCTACAGTGTATTGTATTACCTACCAAACAACCTAAACAAACCTTCAATGTTGACCTCGATCACGCAGGGTATCTGCAATCGGGACAAGTTTTGACAGGGCACCTCACCAGCCTAATCTTGACCACCCTGCCAGGCTAACCTGGCTTACACTGGGGATCCGCCAGGCTAACCAGGCATATGCGGAGGACTCCGCTTGACTAACGACCTCAGGCTATAGTATATAACTTGCACAGGCCACTCTCGTCCAGTAATTTGACTGGACAAAGTAATATAGCTTAGACGGGTTAACCCCGTCCGGTAATCGGGAGCACAGAACAAGCTAATAATAAGCCTAGGGATCTAGCCGAAACTTGACCAGGTCTGCGGAAACATTTCGTATTCGGGAACCCCTTTGCGGAAACCCTGCGGAAACTTGCGAAAACTGTAAATTGGCTATATAAAGCTGTTTTTAGCTCTTGGCAGTGTTGCGATAATATGGACAATCTCAAACGCGCTCCAGTCTCGTGGGATCTGCAAGCATTCCGCCTCTCTTCGACCCCCAATCCCCTAGGCCAGAGCACCCTTATCGTAGACCTCCCCCGTAGTGCTTGATGTTGACGGATTGCATTGGGACGCTCCGATCGGGTCACTCCGATGTTGTTTGCAGGTTGCAGAGCAGTTCTTGCTCTTGTCATAAGGTCCTCGATCAACATGTTTCCAAACGTTGGTAGCGGACCTTCCACCTTCTTTGAGCTGAAACACAGTCGATCTCTAGAACTTCGTCAGCCCCAAGGTCGGGGGCAGTGATCGTAGACATTTACCCTAAAGTAGATTCAGTAGTGAAGTAAACGCACGTATGATGTGTGAAACAGGGGGGTGTATCTTCGCCCGTGGCAGCTACCCTGCGAAACCCTGCCTTCCCCGGCATTTTGGGGCACCCTCATCCAGTCACCCTAGTCAACTTCTCAGTGGATCGCTCAGGTTCCGCACCCACCACCAGCATCCAACGGAATCTGCCGGGTCGACAGCGGCCCAACTCCATTCCTGGTCGGCTCGCAGGTTAACTTTATCCCAGGTCACCACCGTCCATCAAATAGGGGCGCAATGCCTTTCACTATCGTAAGGTCTTTTGACCTTAATGGGTATCAATCCCGGGATCTCCCGGGGGCAATGGTCGCGCCTTACCAGTAGTGCCAAACACTATAGTATAACCCACGTATATATATGGCAAACGTAGGCGTGGAATATGTTTTTGACTTTCCGCCGTACTGCAAACGCGGAACTGCGGATTCTCTTTTCGCACTTTCGTCACTTTAGGCTCTCTGTGGGAAGCGGGAAGAAACCTATTTCCGCAGGTTTCCGTTTCCGCACGCTTCGATATCGGCTAGATCCCTGGGTTATGCGGTCAACCCTGTTAGAAATCCTGCGACCGGCTTGCTGTAATAAATTTTCCTTCGCGCGCAGTCCAACATCGGCTTAAACTATGTTTTGGCGTGTATAAGCAAGGGACACTTTGACCTTACAGTTACACCACCATCCATGAGCCACCTCACGCTAGCATTGGGCGGCGGATGTTTGGATGTTTATTTCAGAGAAGGCGGGCCTGCTGATAAAGCCCAGAAGCGGTGCAACGTAAGATATGAAGAAGTGCAGGTGCAAAATAGCTTCCCCCTTCGATACCCTGGCCGTATGAATTCCCCGAAGCTCTTAATGTCTTAGCTTTGAATCGTCCTGAATAGTCGCCTGAATGGACGCCTGAGTAATCGCGCAGCTAGGTGAGCCGGTGAGCGACCACTGGGAATAATAACGATAATAAGGTAAGGAAGCGCACGTGTGATAATGTCAAGAAAGAGTGTGCGTTTAAGTTGACCTTCGTCCGTCGCTTAATCTTACACCGTCAGCAAGCAGGGGGTAGAGAGGTTGGGTGAGGGGCAGCAGGCACCTACCAAATAGGTGCAAAAGTCATCGCAATCCGTGCGTCTACCTCTCGCAGCAGTCTGTCTGTCTACCTCCACTCTACCTCGCTCGACATCGCCGTAATCATAGTGCATTACTAAGCCTGCGGTTCGTAAAACACATCGCCTTACGCCGCAATACAGGGCCGCTGCTGCCAAAGCAAAGGTGAATGCGAAACCTATCTAAGCTGAAAACGAAGGGGCGATTTGACGTGAGTTTGCACGGCGATCGAAACATACCATGCAACGGTTTTCATTCGTCATGTGACGTTTCAGCGAAACGGCGCTTAATTTGGATGGTCGTTTTAGTTCGTAATTTCCGGGACGGTTTTTCCCGAATTGGTGAGCTGCAGAATTGCGTAGCAGCGAAATTCCAGTGCACGGCCGATCAGCTGACCTGCTGAACTTTTCACGCAAAAGTACAGCGGAGTCAAATGCATGCACCCACGTTGGCCGTAGCAATGTCATTCTGAGCTCAATCAAATAGCTGCAGGCTGAAAACCTCACATGCGATATGAAAAAACAATGCATGAACAAAAGTTTCCAGTGGTGGACGTCCATGACCTGCTGACTAAACCTGGTTAAACCCCACTAAGAGCCATGTTGCATCGAGATGCAGCTGTCTGTTAAAACAAAACGGCCCGTGCCGGTTCGTAAGAGGCACTCCTGGACCGGGTCGAGGTGTGCGCGCGAGGAAACGAGCCACCCTGGATCGCAATGTGTGTAGGGCGCCTGTGGTACGCAAAACCGTACAGAAGTTTCCACTCAGCATTATAAATACTTGCGGCACCATAACATTTCAATGTAGGATTATCCCCTCAAGAATTACCTTGGGGTGGAAACCACTTTTCCCCTCACTCGATTTATTTCGTTCTGAATATGGGTAGAATGGCCTCGTTACGCGTCCTTTCATTGCTGATCATGCTAGCGTCTATGCGGCCAGAAGGTGAGTCCTCCTGGGGCTTCAAATTACTGCAATCTAGCTGCGTAATCAATGATGTACAGCTTTGGTGAAAACTGCTTTGCGTCTTTTGTGTCCGAGTGCCCAAGCAAGCTTTCCAGACAATTGAAACCGATAAACTAGAACGCCCAAGCACTGTCAGGTTTATGTTTTATTGGGGACCCTCCGTCGTCATCCAGGGGGGTGTTTCCGGCAGGCTTGCTGCTGCGAAGCTGTAAAAGTCCGATAACGACGGGTAGCGCAGGGTTCTCTCTGCATTCCTTGTTGGCAACCAATCCTCCAGCCACTACAGGCTAGCGATGGCGCCACAGTGGGCACCTTTCGTCTTCGTCTGGGCCTCCACTCCTCCTTG